TTGTTTGTTCTTTTAACTTTTCATTTTTAAACATTTTTTAATTTTATTTATTTATTTTTTTGAGGAAGATTGGCCCTGAGCTAACATCTGTTGCCAATCTTCCTCCTTTTTGACTTTTTTCTCCCCAGTGCCCCAGTAGATAGTTGTATGTCATAGATGTACATCCTTCTAGTTGCTCTATGTGGGATGCCGCCTCAGCATGGCTTGATGAGCGGTATGTCCGGGCCCAGGATCCGAACTGGCGAACCCTGGGCCATCAAAGTAGAGAGTGCGAACTCAACTGCTACACCACCAGGCCGGCCCCTTGACTTTTCATTTTTAAATAATTGTAGACTTACAGAAAAGTAGCAGAATAGTACAGAGAGTTCACGACTACCCTTTACCCAGCTTACCCTGATGTTAACATCTTTCATAACTATAGTGCAATTATTAAAGACAGAAAGTTAACATAGATTCAAGTCTATTAACTAAACTATAAACCTTATTTGAATTTCATCAGTCTTTCACTAAAGTCCAGGATGCAACACAGGCTCTTATGTTGCATTTAGTTGTTGTGTCTTCTTAATTTCCGCCAATCTGCAACAGTTGCTCAGTCTTTGCATTTCTTTCCTGGCCTTGACACCATTGGTGAGTACCAGCTAATTATTTTTTGAATGCCTCTCAGTTTGGGTTCGTCTGATGTTTACTTGTGATTAGATTGAAGTTTCCTTTTTTGGCAGGAGTACAACAGAAGTACTGTGTCCTGGTGCATCATTTCAGGGGGAACAGAATATTGATGTCTCTTATTAGTGGTGGTATTAACCTTGATTATCTGGTTAAGGTTTCTCCACTGCAAAGTTATATACCTATTTTCTGGAATAGAAGATACCGTTAGTAACCTCAGAATAAAGGAAGACTTTTTTTGGCATGCCTGCGCTATGAAACATTTTATATGTATTACCCAGCATCTTTTTTTTTTTTTTTTTTTTTTTTTAAGATTTTATTTATTCAGTTTTTTCCCCCCAAAGCCCCAGTAGACAGTTGTATGTCATAGGTTCACATCCTTCTAGTTGCTGTACGTGGGACCCG